TTTATAAAATTTATTAGATATAGTTTTGATCTGTGATATTGGAGAGAAATAACTGTTCTCGAATTTTTCCCGTTCTGTCTAATCACTGTCTGTAGGCATACCTCAGCATTTCAATTTCATACTGAACCTCATTGAATTCATCAAGAGATGGTTCAAATTTACTTAAACGAGTATTCAATTCGACTACCGATTGCTCTTCTAACTTCGAAATATCCTCAGAAATAGTTGAAGAATTGACATATGTTTGCAACCGAGTTGCCCTCGCTTTAATAATACCCCATCGTATTTTCAATGCATCTGTCATTTTGAATTCTTGCCACACACAATAATGAACATCTACAATAACATCGAAACAATGACTCAAACGATTATGTTTCAAATTGATAAATGGGGATGACTTAGATTATTTGGTTCAATTATAAGGGCCGATTTTATAATGAACCACTTAAAGCTCCTTGTGTTAATTGCCTCATCAAGTTAGAATGCCATTTGAATGGCATTTAAAATTCCATCAATTTCATAATGGGATATCAATTTATTTTAACAAACAGACCATTTAACCAAAATTAACATTGTTGGTATACCTGGAAAGGGTGAAATCGTAACCGCTTCTAGGGATTTAGACACAATTATATAAGGTTACGGTCATTATTATTCAATCCTTCAGCTTTAAAAAAATCATTAATGAGGTTTTAGAGGGTTTTAGCATCGATTTAACTCAATTAAATATAGTCTGTGCTATTAGGGCATTATGCAGAGGCACCATATATGAGATATTATTCAAATCGAATACACAATCATTCTTGTCTTCCATTTGTGGTGTAAAGTTATTATTCCTGGTCTGTGAATTTAGTGTGAAGCAAGTGTGAACGTACCTATAATGGAAGTTGAAAAAAAACGAGTTAAGCGATCCACAAATTTCAGCAGAGAAGATGAGCTACTTCTTCTTGAAGAAGTTGAAAAATTGAAAGGCATTATTGAATGCAAAAAACTACTGACAAAGTCAACAATCATGATAAGGTTTGTTAACATTTGCACTTCATATGTTAATATTATGGAAACAATAATTCATTTATTATTATACCAGCCACCAAGCAAGATCTCTGGAGCAACTCAAATCTGAATATAAAGATTTGAAAACAAAATCAAGAAAATGTGCGGCGAGTTATCAGAAACATTTAAAGGGAACAGGTGGTGGGCCATCGAACTAACCTGATTAGGATCCAGTAATTGAGGCTGTACTCAGAATAATCAATGAAAAAACAGTCATTGGATTTCAGAACTCGTTTGATTCAGATTACATTGATGATGCCAGTGATTTGATCAATGACATTGAAGTGGAAAATCATGATGTAACAGAAGAGGTTCTAATATATTATTTTGAACTGTTTTAGCAAAACTAACTGTTTTTTTTTTTCAGTTCTATTTAGTCATGGATCCTGCTGAAGTAGAAAACCCAATTACTGCAACAGTGAAAGATTTTTTAAGTAGTTTTCCTTTGAGTTTGAAATAAAATAGCACTAATAATCCTTTATTTGTAGTGAAAATATTTTACAAATGAAAATTTCCACCAAATAATTGTATTATTTGTTGGATACTATTGAAGATATCATAACTGTACCAAAAATGCTAAATCAAAAGACAGATGTTGAGCTGCTAAATAACCAGCATCAGGATGCTGAGTTGGAGGTAATTTACATTTAAACTACTCATGAATATTGAGAGTTAATATCTATTCTAATGGGAATGTATCTACTCTAATTATAATCAAATATTCACATAAGTTTTTCTATTTTCAGATATCTTCAAATTCAAATGATTGGTCCAAGTATACACCCAGGAAATTGAAAACGCCAATCAACAAAAAACACCTATATCAAGTGCTTTACAGAATGCCAAACAAGAATATTATGTGAAAAGAACAGCTCTACTAGAAAAAGAAATAAATCAAAAACAATTGGAGGAAGAATACGTCAAAAGAAAAAGACATATGGAAGAAGAAGACCACAAAAGAAAAGTACAAAGGGATGAAGAAAAGAGTCAAATGGACAAAGAAGAACATGATATGAAAATGAACATATTACATTGTGAATTGGAATTGAAAAAGAAGGAACTTAGTAGAAATTAGATTTTAACAAATAAAACTTCCATCTAAACATGTTTCAATTGTTTTATTTTTCAAGTCAAGTTGAAAAAATGAAGATATTGAAGTCTTCATAACGGAGATACAGGGCGATTTATCGATTTCGAATAAATATTCATTCGTCTATAAGTATTGACCTACCCAGTATATTTTTCTAAAATTTGGTATGGAGCTAATGCTTGGGACGTTGAATCCATTCACCTATCGGGAGGAGTGAAAATCCAGGTTCGGCTTCAGGAAAAATTTACATTTATTCGAAATATCAAAATAACACACTGTATGCTATAATTGACAGAGTTAGTCAAAGGAATCGTGAAAAGGAGCAAAACCTGAACTGGATTTGATACTTTTTGTTTACCCGCCACCAATTCTCATCGTAACAATCATAAACAGAAAGCTAAAAGTATGTCAATTTGAAGAGTATTGAAATTATGAAACCACTTTCAATTATGATTATTTGATATATTCTTGTTGAATGATCGTTCTAAAGAACTTACTCAGTCTCACAGTCTTTATAACAGAGATACAGGGTGAATTATCGGTTTCGAATAATCATTCACTCGTCCATATAAGTATTAGACTACCCATCGCAGTAATATTTTCTCAAATTTGGTATTGAGCTTACTTGAGACGATGGATTCATTGACCTATCAGGCAGAATGGAAATACAGGTTCAGCTTCAGGAGAAGTCTCATAGTCTTTATAACAGAGATACAAGGTGAATTATCGAATTATAATTATTTGGTATTATTTCCATTCCGCCTTCGTCTCAAGTAAGCTACATACCTACCAAATTTAAGAAAATGTTACTGGGTAGTTTATGACTTATGGAGACTGTTTCATAATTCCAATACTCTTTAAATTGACATACTTTCAACTTTCTGTTTATGATTGTTACGATGAGAATTGGTGGCGGGAAAACAAAAAGCATCATTCACAATTCAGTTTTGCCTCCTATTCACAATTCTTTTGATGTACTGTGTTAATTATTGAATACAGTGTGTTATTTTGATATTTCGAATAAATGTATATTTTTTCTGAAGCCGAACCTGGATTTTTACTCCGCCCGATAGGTGAATGAATTCAACGTCCCAAGTATAAGCTCCTTACCAAATTTGAGAAAAATATACTAGATAGGTCAATACATATAGACGAATGAATAATTATTCGAAATCGATAAATCGCCCTGTATCTCCGTTATAAAGACTCTAAGACCCATCCAATATGGTATTTTCAGAACCAGCTTGGTGACCCCTATCTACCATTGAAATATTTCCCTTTACCTATGAAACACCCTGTATGTGTAGGGACGACAAACCAGATGAATTGCCACAAAATGTCACAAATTATAAAAACAAAAACAAAA